CACAGATGCAAGGGCGATCTTCCCATACAGAAGGAAGTGCTTTTGATCCTTAATAGTATCCAGCCATCATGGTAGTCGGGTTGTTGCTGGAGGCGCCCCCGCAGTCACCCTGGACCGTCTGGATGCGCGTGGACGTGACGGTCTGGGTGACGTACTGTGGGATTCTCTGCGTCTGCGTCTGGGTGATGTACTGGGGCACCTGCTGGGTCTGGGTGACCACGTTGTTCTGGACTCTGGTGGAGGTGACGGTCTGGGTGATGTACTGAGGCACGCGCTGGGTCTGGGTTTGGGTGATGTACTGGGGCACCTGCTGCGTCTGGGTGACCACGTTGTTCTGGACCCTGGTGGAGGTGACGGTCTGGGTGAGGAAGCGGGTCTGGAATTGGGTCTGGGTTTGGGTGACGAAGTTGTTCTGGACGCTGGTGCTGGTCACGGTCTGGGTGATCACTTGGTTCTGCACGCGGGTGGAGGTGACGGTCTGGGTGCGGAACTCGGTCTGGAATTGGGTCTGGGTTTGGGTGATGAACTCGGGAACCCTCTGGGTCTGGGTCTGGGTGATGAACTCGGGGACGCGCTCCGTCTGGGTGATGTACTGAACCTGGGTGCTGGTGCGGGTTTCGGTCCGGAACTGCTCAAGGAAAAAAAAAAAGAGATCAGTTTGCATACTCTCGCATCTCATTCACAACGAACGCCAATCTTTACAAAACCTTCAAGTATGAAAAATATACAAAATATGTACAAAAGAGCGAATGTTTTTACCTCCGTCTGGAACCGAGTCTGGAACTGGATGTCAGTGCGGACCTCAGTCTGGGTCTGGAAGCGGGTCTGGGTCTGCGTCTGGGTCTCGGTGATGTACTGGAGGCGGGTGTCGGTGACGTAGGAGGTCTGGGTGAAGTACTGGGCGCGGGTGACGTACTGGACGTTGGTCACGACCTGCGAGGGAAGGTGTAAAGCAAAATGAACCTTAATTTCACCAAAGCAACTGAGAGCATAAAAAAAAAATATATGGAGAACACTATCAACATATCAACCAACTGCCAAACAACTACAGAAAGTACTTAAAGCGGAACCAGTACTCACGTCAGTCGTTGTCTGGATCACCGGAGGAACAACCGAGGTTATGATTTGCTGCCTGATGACGGTGGATGGGAAGTACTGCGTCTGCGTGATTTCGGAGTAGACGGTGGTGGGGAGGGCGCGGGTGCGGGTCTCGATGACGGTGCTGGGGATGAACCTGGTGGTGGTGACGACGGAGATTTCGGTCGTCGGGTTGCAGGAGGCCACGGGGTTGTTGTTGGAGTCAGAGCTTGGGACTTCGTAGAGACCGGAAGGTTCCTGAGGCAGGACGGGGGCGATGTTCACGTCGGGGAAGGGGTTGCTGGGGGAGGTGGGGAGGCCGTAGCTAGAGGTGGGGGCCGGTGGGGGGGCGGGGGCAGGGGCGGGGACGGGGTTGGATGGCTGGAACTAGAAAGAAAAAAATCGAGCTCGAATTAATTGTTTATGTCTTTAAAATAGTGCAGTTAACAGAAAGTTAAGAAAAAAAAATAGTATCTTAAACAATATAATTACATGAAAATATAAATCATGTGTTATATGCATGTATGAAAATAGTTCACACTACCTGTGGGACGCCGTAGCTCTGAGAAAGCCCGAAGAATTGTGGCTTAGCCTGGGTCAAAGCCACAAGCAACAGTACTGTGATAAAACGACGCATCCTGTGGGAAAATATTATAATCATCAATAGATTAATTAATCACGCTGATCATTAACATTATCAATCTTACTGTTTATATCGTCACCACTTTTACTATCACCATCCTCAGCATCATCATTTTCATCCTCCTTATCACTACCATTATCATCGCTATCATTGTCAGTCTCATTCTAAAAAAAAAAAAAGTGAATATGACAAAGCAACGTATCGGAAAAAGCGTGTTTTTTTGCGTAATAGACAAGTTGCGTAAGAATGCCCATAAATCGAACGAAAAGAAACGTAACGTACATTTTATTATCATGCAGAGATGTATAAATCAAATGATATTCAGAACGAGATAGGATTACAAGCTATATATAAAAAAAAGGGAAGAAAAAAAAAAATAGAGAAAAAAGAACGATAAAAAAGTATGATGTTCTACTAGAGTAATAATAGCGAATGGGGAATGAAGAAATCCGAATTAGTGAGATGTGTTGGGAGGAGGGGAGAGTAGGGAAGAGGTGAGAGGAGATAAGAAAGGAGGAAAAAGAGGGATGAGGTAAGATAGAAGGAAGAGGAGACAGGTAAAGGAGTAGGAAGTAGAGAGAGGGGGAGGGGTAAGGAAGGAGGAGAAAAGGGGGGAGAGGTAAGGAAGGAGGGAGAGGAGGGAAGTAAGGATGGAGGAAGAAGAGAAGGAGCAGAAGGAGGAGGAGGAGGAGGAGGAGGAGGAGGAGGAGGAGGAGGAGCAGAAGGAGGAGGAGGAGGAGCAGAAGGAGGAGGAGGAGGAGCAGAAGGAGGAGGAGGAGGAGGAGCAGAAGGAGGAGGAGGAGGAGCAGAAGGAGGAGGAGGAGGAGGAGCAGAAGGAGGAGGAGGAGGAGGAGGAGGAGGAGCAGAAGGAGGAGGAGGAGGAGCAGAAGGAGGAGGAGGAGGAGGAGGAGGAGCAGAAGGAGGAGGAGGAGGAGCAGAAGGAGGAGGAGGAGGAGGAGCAGAAGGAGGAGGAGGAGGAGGAGCAGAAGGAGGAGGAGGAGGAGCAGAAGGAGGAGGAGGAGGAGGAGCAGAAGGAGGAGGAGGAGGAGCAGAAGGAGGAGGAGGAGGAGCAGAAGGAGGAGGAGGAGGAGGAGGAGGAGCAGAAGGAGGAGGAGGAGGAGGAGGAGGAGCAGAAGGAGGAGGAGGAGGAGCAGAAGGAGGAGGAGGAGGAGGAGGAGGAGCAGAAGGAGGAGGAGGAGGAGCAGAAGGAGGAGGAGGAGGAGGAGCAGAAGGAGGAGGAGGAGGAGCAGAAGGAGGAGGAGGAGGAGGAGGAGGAGGAGCAGAAGGAGGAGGAGGAGGAGCAGAAGGAGGAGGAGGAGGAGCAGAAGGAGGAGGAGGAGGAGGAGCAGAAGGAGGAGGAGGAGGAGCAGAAGGAGGAGGAGGAGGAGCAGAAGGAGGAGGAGGAGGAGCAGAAGGAGGAGGAGGAGGAGCAGAAGGAGGAGGAGGAGGAGCAGAAGGAGGAGGAGGAGGAGCAGAAGGAGGAGGAGGAGGAGCAGAAGGAGGAGGAGGAGGAGGAGGAGGAGGAGCAGAAGGAGGAGGAGGAGGAGGAGGAGGAGGAGCAGAAGGAGGAGGAGGAGGAGGAGGAGGAGGAGGAGGAGGAGGAGGAGGAGGAGGAGGAGGAGGAGCAGAAGGAGGAGGAGGAGGAGGAGGAGCAGAAGGAGGAGGAGGAGGAGGAGGAGGAGGAGGAGGAGGAGGAGGAGCAGAAGGAGGAGGAGGAGGAGGAGGAGGAGGAGGAGGAGGAGGAGGAGGAGGAGGAGGAGGAGGAGGAGGAGGAGGAGGAGGAGGAGGAGGAGGAGCAGAAGGAGGAGGAGGAGGAGCAGAAGGAAGAAGAGGAGGAGGAGCAGAAGGAAGAGGAGGAGGAGCAGAAGGAGGAGGAGGAGGAGGAGGAGGAGGAGCAGAAGGAGGAGGAAGAAGAGGAGGAGGAGGAGCAGAAGGAGGAGGAGGAGGAGGAGGAGGAAAGGATAGAGAGAGATGAAGGAGAATGGGGTGAGGAAGGGAGGAGAGGGTGGGGGGGATATAATTTTTGTAAGAAATACGATGAAAATGCAATTTTTTGGAGTACTTTCTATTTCTATAATGAGAAAAAAGCGTGTTAGTATAGTATGCAAATCCATCGAATAATAACGTGCAGATCTCTATGCGTAATATGAGCGTATGTACAAATTAATAAGTATGTACGCATGGATGTAAATGATGAATGTAAGTTATCTTCGTCAATAGTGTGTATGTGTGTGTGTGTGTATGTATGTGTGTGTGTGTGTGTGTGTGTGTGTGTGTGTGTGTGTGTGTGTGTGTGTGTGTGTGTGTGTGTGTGTGTGTGTGTGTGTGTGTGTGTGTGTGTGTGTGGGTGTGTGTGTGTGTGTGTGTGGGTGTGTGTGTGTGTGTGTGTGGGTGTGTGTGTGTAACCAAATATATTTTCCTATCCCCCGTAAAAAGGCAAACATTACACTACTTTTCTGACACAGAAGACTCCCCAATGCACGTATTTCACTCTTTGTATCTCCATATAATGACACTTATTTTCCTCCAAATATTATTATTGAGTTCAGCTGTTACTTTCAGAGTCCGAGGCCAGAGTGAGGAAGATGAGTACGCTTCGTTCAGTGACTCAGCACCGTGCTTGACTCACGCGCAGCCGAACATAACCCCGATAACCTGGCGAAGGGGGGGGGGGGCGACGGGGAGGATGGGGGAAGGAGAGGAAGGGGAGGGGGGGAAGGGGGAAGGGGCGAGGGAGGGCTGGGAGGAAGGGGGGGGAGGGGAATTGGTGAGGGGAAACAAGCTATAATTTTTCAAATCAGTAGTTGTATCGCTGTCGCTCGAGTGGATTTTTGTTTGAGGGGAGGGGGTGGAGGTGGGGAGGGAGAGGGGAAGGGGGAGGGAGAGGGGGAGGAGAAAGGATGGGAAAGGGGAAGGGGGGGAGGATGAGAAGAGGGTATGGAAAGGAGGAGTGGAAAGAGGGAAGGAAGGTAGCAAGGGAAAAAGAGGAGGTAAAAAAGAAAGGAGGGAAGAGCAGGGGAGATGGAAAGGGGGAAAGAGAAAGGTGAATAAGGATTCCAAGGGAAGAAATAGAAGAGAAGGAAGAGACGTAGGAAGTAAGGAGAGGAGGAGGAAGGGAAGATGGAAAAGAGAAGGTGGAAAAGAGGGGAGGGGGAGGAGGAGGAGGAGGAGGAGGAGGAGGAGGAGGAGGAGGAGGGGGAGGAGGAGGAGGAAGAGGAGGAGGAGGAGGAGGAGGAGGAGGGGGAGGAGGAGGAGGAGGAGGAGGAGGAGGAGGAGGAGGAGGAGGAGGAGGAGGAGGAGGAGGAGGAGGAGGAGGAGGAGGAGGAGGGGGAGGGGGGGAATGGAAAGTACTACAGATATTGGGCTTCTGATGTTTATAAACACAATTCTTAGTGTGTGACTGAAAGAGGGTAATGATGCGTGCCATATGTTGCAACACGTGATGTGTACAATATAATGAACAGTGCCGAGTCCCAAATACTATTGCAACATACGAAAGAATAACAAAATTAACATTTTCGGAACTCGCTCACACTCTCATATTTAGTGGTTTCTGCTAAAACGTCTTGCATTAGTTCTTACGAAATGTAAGTAGCAAAACTAGACGTTCGTATAATATGAGTGAATATGAAGAAAAAAAAGTTATGTGTAGTTACACCTTAATGTTTCCTGCAAGCGACTGAGAATGTACGTGCATGTGCGTGTATGGCATGCATACGTACATGTGTGTATGCATACGGGTGTGTGTGTGTGTGTATGTGTGTGTGTGTGTGTGTGTGTGTGTGTGTGTGTGTGTGTGTGTGTGTGTGTGTGTGTGTGTGTGTGTTATATCTGTATTGTATGTGTGTATATAAGTGTCTATAAGTGTATATATATGTGCATATATATATATATGTATACATATATATGTATACATGTGTACATATGTATACATGTGTATACATATGTGTATATGTGTATACATATGTGTACATGTGTATATATATGTGTACATGTGTATACATATGTGTACATGTGTATACATATGTGAACATGTGTATACATATGTGAACTTGTGTATACATATGTGTACATGTGTATACATATGTATACATATGTGTACATATGAGTACATGTGCATACATATATGTGTACATATGTATACATGTGTATACATATATGTACATGTGTATACATATGTTTACATGTGTATATATATGTGTACATGTGTATACATATGTGTACATGTATATACATATGTGAACTTGTGTATACATATGTGTACATGTGTTTACATATGTGAACTTGTGTATACATATGTGAACTTGTGTATACATATGTGAACTTGTGTATACATATGTGTACATGTGTATACATATGTGAACTTGTGTATACATATGTGAACTTGTGTATACATATGTGTACATGTGTATACATATGTGAACTTGTGTATACATATGTGAACTTGTGTATACATATGTGAACTTGTGTATACATATGTGAACATGTGTATACATATGTGTACATGTGTATACATATGTTTACATGTGTATATATATGTGTACATGTGTATACATATGTGTACATGTATATACATATGTGAACTTGTGTATACATATGTGTACATGTGTATACATATGTGAACTTGTGTATACATATGTGAACTTGTGTATACATATGTGTACATGTGTATACATATGTGTACATGTGTATACATATGTGTACATGTGTATACATATGTGAACTTGTGTATACATATGTGTACATGTGTATACATATGTGTACATGTGTATACATATGTGTACATGTGTATACATATGTGTACATGTGTATACATATGTGTACATGTGTATACATATATATGTATACATGTGTATACATATGTGTACATGTGTATACATATGTGAACTTGTGTATACATATGTGAACTTGTGTATACATATGTGAACTTGTGTATACATATGTGAACTTGTGTATACATATGTGAACTTGTGTATACATATGTGAACTTGTGT